GGGGCTCGAGCTATTTTCTCCTCACAGCTCGGCACATTTTGTAGCAGATAGGCAACTCGGAAGTTTTGTAATAGATAGGCAACTCGGAAGCGTTGTAATAGATAGGCTTTGAATGCATATGCGAAATTTCGAAGAATCATTCTGCTTTTCTTGCCTGCGAGTAACGCCAAGTGCCGACCTCCTGGGCCGAGCACCGAATACGTCACCCTTCCCATCCAGCAATGGAGTTGCCCAGCGGCAATCTAACTATTAAAGTCATGCGCCGGCCTCTAGGTCGAGCACCAAATAGACCCACTAAGGGGGTGTGCCAGCCTTTTGGGGCTGAGCACTTAAACGCTAAGGGCGTTCCTGCTGACCTCCTGGGTCGAACGCGGAGCCCCCGGACCCGAAGGCCCTTGCCGACCTCTCGCGATCGCGCGTCGGGCACCGAACCCCTCTTTCGCAGACCTCCTGGGTCGAGCGAGGAGTTTCTAGAATCCTCCCAAGCTTTCAAGTTTTCCTCCGTCGTGCCGAACTCCTGGGCCGAGCACTTCACACCTGGATGAGTACTTAAACATTGAGTGCGTTCGTGCCGACCTCTTGGGTCGAACGCTTCACACTCACACTTGGCACTTCACACTGGGCTGCTTAGTACCCCTAGCCCCCCTAGGACATTGAGCGAGGAACGCTAAGTGTGCTAGTGTAAGGTGCAGACTTTTTTTTTTTTTAAATCTTAAAATGAAACAAGTACAAGTGAAATTGAAACTGTGAAGTCGGGCTTTTATTGAATGAGAAAACAAAAATTCCTGAACACACTGGTCTAACCTATGCTACAAACAGTCGCAAATTGGAGAAGTGCCAAGTACGAGGTACTTCAGATCCATCTGCCTTGGCGAGCCTGCAGTAGCCAGCCCGGCTCACCTCAATGACCTTGTACGGACCCTCCCAGTTTAGGTCGAGCTTGTTGGAACTGCAAGCTCTGCTGATTGAGTTTTTTCGCAAGACCAGATCCCCCGGCTGGAACTGAATGCTCCTTACTCGGGCGTTGTGGTAGCGGGCGAGCTGCCTCCTCCCGCTTGGTCTCTAGCCTGTCCAGATTGCACCTCAGCTCTTCTTCGTTGGCTGTCGCAACGAAGTTCTGGGTTCGAGAAGATGGGAGGCCGATCTCCGCGGGGACCACTGCCTCCGCCCCATATGTCAGGGAGAACAGTGTCTCGTGGGTAGCCGCCCTAGGCGTGGTGCGATAGGCCCAGAGAACACTAGGGAGCTCCTCTAGCCAATTAGACTGGGCTAGCTCCAGCCTAGTTTTTAGTCCTTGCAAGATGGTTCGGTTGGCATTCTCCACCTGACCGTTAGCCTGGGGATGGCCGACCGACGTGAAGTGCTGATTGATCCCAAGCTCGCGCACCAGTCCTTGAAGGGGTTTTCGGCGAACTGGCGCCCATTGTCAGATATCAGAACATGCGGAATTCTGAAGCGACAGACTATATTCTTCCAAAAGAACTTCTGAATCGTCTTTTCCGAAATAGAGACCAGGGGCTCTGCCTCCATCCACTTCGTGAAGTAGTCGATGGCCACCACGAGGTGCTCGTACCTTCCAGGAGCTCGGGGAAGGGACCTAGGAGGTCTATCCCTCATTGGGCGAAAGGACAGGGACTATGAATGGGGATCATTTCCCGAGCTGGCTGGTGGCGCAGCGAGGCGTGCACCTGGCAAGCTCGGCATTTCTGTACCAGTTCTGCGGCATCTCGGAAGACGGAGGGCCAGTAGTAGCCCAAAAGAAGACACTTTTTTGCCAGCACTCGAAATCCTACATGTGCCGCACATAGGCCTTCATGGATTTCGCGCAGAACGTAGTCGCCTTCCTCGGGAGTCACACACTTTAGCCAGGGGGACAAGTACAACTTCCTGTAGAGGGTTCCCCCGGCGTAGGCGTATTTGGCAGCTCTGAGCTGGATCCGGCGGGTTTCGGTTTTACTCTCGGGAAGGGAGCCCAGCTGAGGAAGTCGATGAGGGGAGCCATCCAGGTGGCCGAGCTGTCTATCGCCAGGACCTGGACCAGGTCGATACTTTTGTGCTTCACCACCTCTACCAAGACCTCCTTGCTCAGGTGGGCGAACGAGGAGGATGCCAGCTTTGACAGGGCGTCCGCGCGCTTGTTTTGGGACCTTGGCACCGGCTCGATTTCAAAAGTCCCGAACAGGGCTACTACCTCCCGTACCTTAGCCAGGTATTTTTTCATAACGTCGTCCTTGGCTTCATACTCCCCGCGAACCTGGAGGACGACGAGCTGAGAGTCGCTCCGAACTCTGATCGCAGTGATGCCCATCTGGTGGGCTATCCGCAGCCCCGTCAACAGGGCCTCGTAATCTGCCTCGTTGTTGGATGCCGGGAAATCGAACCTAAGCGCATAGGTCAGCTCTTCCCCAGTAGGCGAGGTGAGCAGCAGGCCAGCTCCGCTCCCCTCCTTGCTCGAGGCACCGTCCACGAACAGCACCCACGGCTCCTCCGTCGGGGCGTCCGCAGGTGTCGGGGCTAACTCGGCCAGGTTTAAGTTAGCCCCTCAGCAAGGAAGTCTGCCAAGGCCTAAGCCTTGACCGGTGCGAGACCGATAACTAAGGTCGTGCTCGGCCAGCTCGACGGCCCACTTAGTCATCCTGCCCGAGACCTCGGGCTTGGTGAGTATCTGTCGTAGGGGCTGGTCGGTCAGAACCACAATGCTGTGAGCCTGGAAGTAAGGGCGGAGCTTGCGAGCAGCATGCACCAAGGCAAGAACCAGCTTCTTGGCTGGAGAGTATCGCGTCTCTGGCCCCTGTAGAGTTCGGCTGACGTAATACACCGGTCTCTGAGCCCCCCTGTCCTCCCGCACCAAGACCGTACTGACGGCCTCGTTGCAAGCGGACAGGTATAGGAATAGGGTCTCCCCCATCTCTGGGGCGGTCAGAGTTGGCAGCTCGGCCAAATAGGCTTTCAGGTCGGTGAAGGCTTTCTGGCACTCCTCTGTCCAACGGAAATCCTTAGGCGCTTTCAAAACTCGGAAGAAGGGCAGCCCCCGGACCGCGGAGCGCGAGAGGAACCTACTCAGGGCGGCCATTCTCCCTGTGAGCCGCTGGACTTCCTTCACGTTCCTTGGAGGGGCCATGTCCATGATAGCCTGGAGTTTATCCGGGTTGGCCCGGATTCCGTCTCGGGACACCAGGAAATCGAGAAACCTTCCCGATCTGACCCCAAAGGTGCACTTCTTCGGATTTAGGCGCATCCGGCTCTCCAGTAGGATGTCCAAGATCTCCCGCAGGTCGGGTATGAGCCGCTGGTCAGTTCGACTTTTGACGATCATGTCGTCAACATAGACCTCCATGCTTCTGCCGATCTGGTTTTGGAATAACTTGTTGACCAGGCGCTGGTAAGTAGCTCCCACGTTCTTCAACCCGAACGGCATGGTCCTGTAGCAGTAGGTTCCCTCCTCGGTGATGAAGGAGGTCTTGTCCCGGTCCTCCTCAGCCATCTCTATCTGGTGATATCCCTTAAAGGCATCCAGAAAGCATAAAACATCAAAACCCACAGTAGAGTCTACTAACCTGTCGATTCTAGGCAGGGGAAAGCAGTCTTTCGGGCAGGCTTTGTTAAGGTCCGTGAAGTCTACGCACATCCTCCAGGTCTGGTCCTCTTTCTTGACCAGGACGGGATTGGCCAGCCAGGTCGGGTAGTAGACCTCCAGGATGATCTTGGATTCCAGCAACTTGCCTACCTCCGCCTTGATCAGCTCATTCCTCTCGGGGGCAAAGCTCCTTTTCTTCTGCTTCACTGGCTTGAAGTGAGGGTCCACGTCGAGGTGATGGACTGCCAGGTCTGTAGGGATCCCGGGCATGTCCTCCACCGTCCATGCGAACACCTGGGAGTACTCTCTCAACAAGGCGTTCAAGCCTTCCTTCTCCTCGGCTGGCAGCAATGCCCCGATGCGGATGACCTGGTCGGGCCGCTCCTCCCTCAAGGGGAATTCCTCAACCTCGTCCTGTGTGCTCAGCTGCTGTGTCTCGTCTCCTGAGATGTAGGGCTCCAAACTGGTCGTCTGGGCGACCATCTTCTCCGGCCCGCGGAGCGTGGTTAAGTAGCAAGCTCTGGCCACCTCTGGATCACCGTGCACCTCGGCTATCCCTCCTGGAGTGGGGAACTTCACGCTGAGATGGAGGGTGGACGGAATAGCTCGGAGGGCGTTCAGAGCTGGCTGGCCCAGGAACACGTTGTATGAGAATTGCTACTTGACCACCATGAAATTGACAGGGATGGTCCGGCATTTGGGGGCCTGCCCCACCGTGATCATCAGGGTGATCATTCCCTCCGGGTTGATGGGTGATCCTGTGAAGCCCACCAGAGGTGTTCGAACCGGGGTCAGCTGGTCGTCCCTCAGTCCGAGCTCTTTGAACACCCGGTAGAACATAATGTCAACCGCGCTACCTTGGTCGACATACACCTTTTTCACCCGATAATTGTTGGTGACAATGTTTATCACTATAGTCTCGTGATTCCCAGACGCTAGGGGAACCGCATCTCTTGGCCCGAAAGTGATCTCCTCGTCCATGCGCAGGCGCTTCAAGGAGTCGTCTCCCTCGGGGGTGGTCGCCTGTTCTTCCGGGCTGTGTGACTGTCTCCCCCCGTGGGGCCTCCGGCGATGGTGTTTATAACCCCCGTTAGGTTCTGGCCTTCCCGGTTGGGGGAGGGGTTCCCAGGAGCGTCGCGCCGCTCAGGGCGGTCTCGACGCCGTCCCTCGTACCTATCTCCGTAGTGGTTGCGCCCGAGCTCCTGACCTGGTCGGCGTACGAACCGCCCTAAAAAGCCGCGCTGGATCAGGTCTTCTATCTCCTTACGCAGGGCCCAGCATCCCTCCGTGTCTTGTCCGACGTCGCGGTGGAAGGCGCAGTACCGATCCTAGTTCCTTTTATTCCGGGGTGTCCCCATCTTGGGCGGCCGATCTTCCAACCCTTCCGCCTCCATAACAGCCAAGATCTGGGTTTTGGGCCGTGTTAGAGGGGTGTAGGTCTTCTCTGGGAGTGGGGGCGGAGCGGGGGCCTTCTCCCTCGAGAGCCGATCGAAGACGTTCTTCTTGCCCGGGGCGTCCTTGCCCTCGTGGGGGTTTGTCCGACCCTTCCGATCTCCCGATCCGATTCTTTTTTCAAGCGACCTGCCTCCTCCGCATTAGCAGCCTCGTGCGCCCTGCGCAAGAGCTCCTCCAGGTTTACGGGAGGCTTCTTGGCTAGATCGTAGAAGAGCTCTTCTACCCTGAGCCCGTTTGTGAAGGCGGCCATGACCACTTTTTCGTCCTTGTCCCTGACCTGCAAGCTCTCCGCGTTGAAGCGGGTCATGAAATTCCTCAAGGACTCGTCAGACCTCTGCCTGATGGACATCATGTGGGTCGCGTTCTTCGCGTAGGTCTTCGAGGAGACGAACTGGGCTGCAAACTGCCGAGCCAGCTCGGGAAAGCTCCGTATAGAACCTGGCCTCAACCCCTGGAACCAGAGCCGTGCTTTTCCCTTCAGGAACATAGGAAAAGTTTTGCAGCGGACCTCGTCAGCAGCAGTTTGCAGACGCATGTGCGTCAGGAAGACCGAGAGATGATCCTCCGGGTCGGTAGAGGCATCATACATTTCGATGCTCGGGATCTTGAACCTCCGGGTAGCGGGTAGTCCTCTATCTCCCGGGTAAAGGGCGAGATTACGTAGTTGTCCTCGTACGGCCGTGGACTCAAGATCTGTTCGAGCTCGTCCCGGGCAGGTTCCAAATAAAGGGGGTCGCGGGATCGGCTCTTGACAGACCGAGCAGAGGGAACGCTCGGACCTATTCCGTGTGGGTTTCCGCGGAGGGGTCTCTGGACGGCTCCGCCCGCAGACCGGTCGCTGAGAATACCTCCCGCTGTCCCAACCACCGAGGCTCGCGGCGCGGGTGGCGTCCGTGGTCTTTTCCTCCTGGGGGGCTGGTCTCGTAACTCATCCTTCGAAGGGTCAGGGGTGACTCCTTCTCCTTCCCCCTGGTCTTGGAGGTCCGCGCACCTCCCGTCCCATCTCTCCTCTTCGCCTGTCGGATTATATCCTCCAGCATGGGGAGATTTTCCGTCACCAACTGGAAGATCTGCTGCCTCCGCTCTCCGGAGAGGGCTGAGCCACCGGCGCCCTGAGACGCCTCAGCCGCCTTTCGCTGGGACCCCTCACCGTCCCCAGGGCCGGCGCTCTCTACCATGCGCTTGGACCGCGTCCTGGCCGTTCAAACAATCTCGCTTACCTTACGTTTCCCACAGACGGCGCCAACTGAAGAAGCGCTGAGCTTCCCCGGACGGAGCTAGACTGACGAGCTCGGGGTGCTGATGGAAGAGCTGGTCCTAAGCCTGCAAAAAACAAGGATGAGCCAGGAGAGGGGGCCCGAGGGTCGTCCCCGAGGGCACTCCGACGGTCAAGTTAGTTTTCCGGTGAGTAGGATTCACGGGAAGTAATAACAACTGAGAGTAATTTGCCTATAGTGAGCGTACCTTGTACAGTTGATGCGTGCTACTATTTATACCTGTGAGGGAGTCCGACCTCCGTGCGTTTCGGGACTTGCCCAGGACAGCCAGCATCCCGCACTCAGGGGGATTGTCTCCGATCTCCTTGGGATGGACTCCTGCCCCCCTTGCGAGCCCTAGCAGCGGCCCAAGAGGGCTGCCCGGCACACCAAGGTCCGAGGCCCAGCTCGGCTAGTCCTGAGCTGCCACGTGTCTAGGCCCAGAACGGGGCCACTGCACTCCTGTTGGTAAAAGTGCGGGAGTATGGTAGTTTGAAAAAGTTTGAGTTTGCTGCCTTTCCCACCAAAAAAGGTGAAGAGCTCCTATCCAAGAGAGAGCACTTCTACTTACAGAGAGAAAGCCTCTACTTAGTGAGAGAAAGTTCCTATTAATCTTTGAAGCATCCTATATGCATGAATATCCACTTTACTACTTATTGTACATTCCATTTATCTACATAATCTCTCTATAATTTTATATAAAATGATCATATCTTTGTTCGATATAGTACTTAAGATATTTCAATTAACAATAATATTACAAAGGCTGTTTGGTAAGGTCCCTAGAGTGCTTGAGCATGTTGGTTATAGGATTTGGGGCCACAAGTTGGCTGTTTGCTGATACCTAGAGTTACGACACAATGTGGCTGGGGCAAGGTCACTTCAACAATGCCAGAACAATAATATTTGGTAAGCTGATTCTTTCGGATGCCCTTGCCGTAGAAGTATGAATGTATTGATTAATAGACAATCCATGGGGAAATATGTTCCCGATAGCATGACCTTTTCTAGGTCTTGTTGCCCAAAATACGACCCTTCCATATCATGTTTTTTGGCACAATGTTATAGATTCAGTCTTAAAAGGTTGATACAGATATGACAAATGCTGTTGGAGGCTTGGAGCATATAAAGTCGTTTTTATCTTTACATAGCAATTTCAAACACCAAGGCGATGAGATGATCTAAATTATTTATTCCATTCAAAATAGGGATAATTTCAAAAACCTCCCTTAAGGTTTTTAACAATTTCATTTAGCTCCCTCAAGATTTTTAAAATTATACATACCTCCTTATCATTTAAAATGACAATACTACCCTTAAATATTTTAATGAAATTCCCTTGTTCGGTATACTTATAATTAAATTGATTTTTTCATTCTTCTTCCGTCTTATTCCTTTTTATTTTAATTTTTTACCAATAAAACTGTAGAACTACCACTATTACTTCTAGTTTCTATTGTAACCAAATGTCAAACTAGTGTTTTTTTTATGAGTTAACTTTATATGTAATCCAATATTTTTTGCTAATACTTGTTTCTATTTTTTGGTATTAAAATTAACAATAAATAAAAAAGAAATAGCCCAAAACCACTACTAAATTATGATAATCTCACTATTCGAAAAATTCATAAACTCTAAATCAATTATTTCAACATTTTCTTTTCTATCTTATAAATCTAAATCCATAATAAAATACCATCAAAGTATCCTATCATAGTGATAAAATTATTATTATTATTGTTTATCAAATAGTATGTATGGACATGAAAATTTTGGCACCTTTTCCTTGTAATTACACTAGATAATCTTATAATTGTATAGAGAAATAAATTAAAACTCATTACACAAGGGCACTTTTGGATATTCATTTAAAAATTTGACCAAGTCAATATTATTTTAAGGTTTTGTTACTAAACCTATCAAATCAAGGGAGATAGGTATAATTTTTCAAATCTCAGAAGAGCTCAGTAAAATTGTCAAAAATCTCAAGGGAGGTTTCTAAAATTATCCCTTCAAAATATATCAAGTCAGTACAACAATCGTAACTCAAATTTGGTAGGAATATGAGCTTAGAAATAGGTTTAGTGAATAGAGTACGTAATTTGTTTAATGTTGAATGGTCTTACTAGAGATTCATACTTTCTCACCTTTCCTGTTTTATATATTTGCAATTTCAAATACTACGGTTATAAGGTTAATAGGGCTATCACAATATTACAAATCACACAATGCTGAGCACAAGGTTATAAAATGAAAAAATGGAGAAAAATTGTTAATCCTGTAGTTCCTTTTGAGACCTTCTATGCAACTTTTCAAGTAAGAGATTTCATTTAAAAGAGGACAAGAATATGGTTAATGTAGAAGCCAGTCACTTTTGCAGAAAATAAAAAACTATACAAGCCAGGAGATGAATTTAACACATTGGAAAATGTAAGGGTAGGCTATATTATACACCTAAAATATCTGTGCAATAAGAAGAATAAAATCAGCTTGTTTTTAATTAAACAACAAAAGCAAGACTCAATACTTCGTTCTTGCCAACTAACTACATTACCAAAGTACTCTAGAAAACTTGTTGAAGACACAAATAACACTAGAATTTTCCTAATGCAATAATTAACACCAGATAATAAATTAAGAAAACCACAAAAAGCTTATCCTGAACAAAACTTGATACAAAGGTGCACGTAAACTTCTAGAATTGTATTGGTTTAATATGCCAACATCTTTGACCTTTCAAATTCACAAAGAATGTCAACTTTGCCAAATTCTCATAAAAATCCAACAAGATGAGCGTGGTTTTACAGGAAATTAGCTCTAGGAGAATGCTTAATTACATGCAGTTTGTTTTAATTAAAGGATTTATTTTAGTGTCATAGATCATTAAAACTTGACAAAAGCATGTTTGGCACTTATCTGAGCAGTTTCCTGCTAATCTAGTGAATTAATATTATCTCTAAAAGGCTCTTACTTATTTTCAAGGCTCAAATACACAAAAAATTGTTGAGGAAAAAAAATCAAAGCTTGAAGTGGACACTGCCCCAAAAAAAAGTTTAAAATGGAATTCTAGTTCTTTCCCGGTGCGTACAGAAAATATCAACTGATTGTAAATCCAGCATCTATAGTTAAGGACCAAGAGTGAGATGTCTTTTATTTATTCAATTTTATATGGATAAACGTCATTTCTGAATAGCCTTGTCAACTTTAGCTTCTCATGAAAGGAATTCCCAAAACTTGCTATAAAATGCGGGAGCCACACTCCAATAATTTAGGCTCAACTTGGACATTTCTACAAAAGGATCTTGCAATCCAAAATCTGGGATTAACTTGGACATTTACGTATCTGAAAGGAAATAAAAAGCTACTTTTTCAAAACTAGTTGAGTATCAATCCTCATTTTGAAGACAAGGAAAAAATGTTGAAATGTAAAAATATGTCATGCTTCACACCTACAGTTCCTTTTACTGCCTTCCATAGCCCTTTTTTTTGAAGACAAGGGAAAATAATTATGTAGAAAGAGCAATAATGGTGCTCTTTCTATTTTTTTCTTTTGTTCTTTTTGTGCTCATTCAACTTTATATCCATGCAATGTAATATACATATGGTACTGCTGTCTATTCTGTTTATTCACTCCTCTTGTTCATCATTAAACAAAGCGTAAATAATAAAGCTAAAAATGATGAAATATTACATTTTTGTAAATATGAAAAAGAGATTTTTATTAAGTGTAAATCGCCTTTTTTTTCCCAAATTTTGCCTGATTTCACCAATCTAGGATGGAAAAGACTTCTTTGGTTTCCCTTATTTGGTAATCATATTGACTTGCACATACCTGGATTTTCATCTCGGGTAAAGATACGATTTGGTATTGGAGTTGAAATATAGCGGTTAAGTTTTCGGCTAAATAGGTGAATTGCATCTCTATGTTATAAGATTGCTAATTTTAAACTGACCTATTTTTGTTCATATTTTCACTTTTAAGCAGACATCCCCGTTTAATGTAACTCAAAATAAATTCAAAATGAAATAGGAAAGCTTAAAAAATCAATGATATGAAAAAGGGAACCTAAATGTAGTCTGCGTGCAATATCAGTCATGATTAACTATATGTTGAAAAAATCTAAATGACATATATTGAAAAGCTTTATACAATGAAACATCATGGTTTTATTTAAAAAGGGGTAGGACAATATTTCTTAATCTATTTTACTATGCATTGTTTAAGGATAAAGTTATACCTAGCGTTCAATTTTGATATATTATGGAGTGTATCATGTACTCAGAAATAGCATCTTGTTTCTCAATTTTTTCTTGTTGCTTTTGTCATATTGCT